TGGCAATTCTGAAGTCTCCTTTATATCACCTCGTATAAGCCTCATGGGGACCAACTGTTTTCATCTTCATGTAGGAAGAACATTTCATCGAATCTATGGTAATTCAGCGGTCTCTTTCATATTTCCTCGTATAAACCTTATAAAAAGTTACTGTATTTTAACATTTTACAATTTTTGATAATGACCGAGACTATGTTTCTTTTTCGGAACTTAGCGATTTTCATCACGTTTAAACATATTCTTCTGTATCCCGGGACAATCTGGACATATCTTTTTATCGCATCTTGTATATCCATCGTCAAGAATGAATATAAATTCCTTACTTGTGGAACAACAATCGTAATCTTCTGACTTTTCCAATTTATCTTAACGAAAATGCATCATTTTGAATAAAAATGCGTACCTTCATTATGTGACCTTTGATCCGAGAAATTACAAAACAATTTCGAGGTCAGATACCAGACATCCTCATGACGGAGTAACACTCCATTATCTCACGAATAACACAGGGAAAATTATGTTTCATCTACTTTCGCCATTCCATCATGTTCGAAAACAATCACATATCCGACGACTATACATACAACGTTGATTCTTCGAAAAAGAATTCCAACTTCCAATTTCATTCAATTAGTCGTCGGAAAAACGCATCATTTTGAATGAATATTCATAGCACGATTATTAAAGCTCAGAATTTGAAAATTCCAAAAATGTTTCGAGAGAAAGCACCAATCAAGGGCATACAGGTGAGAAAATAAAATTATCTGTTCAAACGGTGAGGTGACGACCACGATGCAATTTTACACCCATTCAATTATCACCCTGTAGCAATGTTATCTGAAATTACAGAAGTTTCATATTGCCACAACAAACTGTCAAGAGATTAGGCTGATCATTGGTGAAAACCGTAGTCAAATTGGTAAGGAAATTCGTGAGTTGTTCTACTTTGAATTGAGGCTATATTTTGAATCACGACGTAATCAATGTTGACCACTGACCAGTTTATATACCTACATATATTCTTCATTATTTCCAGACCAGAATACCTAGCTAAGGAGGCCATCAATGTTTTCAAACACGGGCCCAATGGAACATTTTGGGTTATCGAAAGTGGACAACCAGCCTACGAATTCAAGTTTCCTGAGAGGTTTGCACAAAAAGGAAATGTGCTATCTTATGATTGAATATTCATTATGGAATATTTATCTACATGATACAATGAAGAGAATCACCAACATATACCACACTACCACAAATAACATAATGTAATCGATAGAGAATATATTTTGTTCGAAGTTTGTGATTTATTTTCATTCAAAATGGGCAAACTGTATGGAAGATGATGGAACGACCCTTGAATTGCTTCCCCCTCGCAAAGCTATGCAGTTATGTCATTGCCAAGAATGCAAAGATGTTTAGATCTATGATAACACCATCATTATTATTTCGCGACTTGTGTGTAGATAAAGATACCACTAATGGTCGGTGAATCTATTCCAAAATGTCATTGAAGGGCGAAATGAACGTAATCGATATTTTTCTAATTCAGACATGTAATTTGACACCTATTGAAACTGACAGACTGATTGATTGATTGATTGATCACTTGAGAAATCTTAATTTCAATCAGCGAGTTTCCACTAATGAATTTATCATACGAGTTTATTGCTTGAATTTCGTTGCTGATTTTTGACCATATTATTGTTTGACGGATATTTCAGAGTAACGAACAGAGTTAACTCGCCTTCGAAATTTGTACATAATCAGTAGGAATCAAATTTTGAATTGACTCGGCCGTTACTTGATGGAAATCCATAGCAAATGTAAAAACTTCAACAGGTGAAATATTGGTGTATACCAGAAACGATTGTACCAGTATTCCACCTGATGAAGCTACAGTGTTGAGAAACATGTCGTGTGATTGAGAATTTAGTGGAAATCTTATTGTTTGTAAAGTTCTCACAGAATAAATCATGTAGAACTGTTCATCATATCTTTTCGACCAAAAAAACAAAAGAAATATTTGATCATAAATTCAGCGCCGGATAGTAAAGTTTGAGTTGCTTCATTTGCCGTAATTTCTTTCATGATCGGAATTCATGTTGATACACTTTTTATTTTCCACTTTTCCATTACTGCTTTATAATACTGTCAGGATAGGAACCAAAAATATTCATAGCTACTATTCAAAATAATATTGACTCAAGATCCATTAATAAAAGTTCAATATTCATTTCATCGTATAACATTCGATTAAAGGAAACGAGTATAATATTTCACTCACGTTGGCAGCTCATTCAACCGGAATGAAATACTCGCATATGGAGTAAAACGCTGACTATGTCAAAATATTCTACATAAATATCGAACAGCCGATAAGGCAAGATGATCAGTTTGGATCTGATCAGCTAGCCTTCACTATGGTTCATCCCCTGCATCTGCTAGAGATTATTTTGTAAGTACTACTGTCATTATCGCTATGTTATCAAACTATTAAATATTGCGAGGTCTGATGTACGTTTGCATTGAATCTCGTTTGTTCAAATCACTAATGAAACTAATTTCTTTTAATAAACTGTAGCTATATAACGAACAACTGTTTTGATTTCTCGGCCTCCCAAGCGAGTTCACCCCCGAGTCACCACCCTGTAGCCATGGGTCGTGACAATATCTTGGCAACGGTTGCCATTTACAGACCCATATATAACACCCTACTGCGTCATAGAGGTCATTAGGAATCATAACGCCCACTAATTGTTTTTTCTGAAGCTCAATAAATTGATTACTCAGAACAGTTTTTTTTATAACTGTACATGAAAATGGGACTTATTATTTTCTCTCAAATAGAAATAACAATTTTCGAATGTTCCTTAAAAATCAGCACCAAGTTTGAAGTTCTGTGAGTTGACCGATGATGAACTCCTCAATGTGCATTCGGTTTCGTTCAGAACGTTATCATTTTTTTTCCAAAACGGAATGGGCAACCATTGTAGTAATTTTATTCGTCGAGGAAATACGTTCTTCAATATAGCTCTTTGCTACCGTACTAATCTCCCCTTTTTCATGTAATTTTATTGTTCCAAAGCAAGCACCACCTTGAACAAGAAGCGTTGACGACGTTTGGTGTAGACAATGTCCGGTGTAACCTTTTGTGTTTCCTGAATTGAGGTATTTCGCTACGATAGAAGGAACAATTCCTATAGTATTTTCAACAACAAGTAGATCCTCCTATTTCGCTTTCTCCAACTATGGGGAAACTTTTTGAGATGCAGATCTTGGTTTCTGGTACCTTGATCAGTAAAAAGGCTCCTCTGTCTTCAATGTCATCAATTGTCATCTTGACCATTTCATCACGTCTCAAGCCTCCAAATCCACCCATCATCAGAACAACTTTATGTAGCAGAAAAGTATCATCTGGAGCTCCTCTTATGGAGCATAGAAGCTCAATGCTTATGCTCAGCTGCCGACCAGAACGCAGTGATTACTATAAGAAGAAATTTATGAAGTTAACAACGTCGTTCAGGATAAATAAAATCTTGTATGCACCTCGAGCGTTACTAGATCCTATTAACGCCTTTCGGGCAGCATTCATCATTCGGGCCAAAGGCCCTTGGGTGATTTGTTGTAACCCTCACTTTATTGATGATGTGCAGATTAGACAACCCATTGTGACATACTGTCAGAGATGAATAAAGTCATGTCCTTAAAAACTTCAATGTTTTAGTTCTATCCAGAAAGTACATACATTCCAATCTCAGTTCACAGTATCATTTCAGTGATTGTTACCCTCCGGGCGCTAAGATCTATATCTACTTTTGGTACATTAATAACTATATCTTGGTTGAAACTAACGCGTCAAAGTTGACAGTTCGCAGAATGAGATACAACCGAGAGCATGATAGGTTCACAAGCACGATTTCACAAGTGTACGTCCAATCCTTGCAACGCTCGCTTGTTACATATTCCTAATGAAATAGGTATATTGGTATATTAAATTCTCCTCTTCCTGTCACGGTGTTAGTTGCCAAACTAATTTTTTGTACGTAATCAGTAGGTATGAGAATCGGTCGTAATCTATTCTGCAAATCAGAAATTCAAGATGGCGGATCCAATATGACAGCCAAGTTTTGTAATCCGATTTTGATCAAAATTGGTATTCAAGGATTATCGGGGTCGGAGATAAAAATTCTTTCGTCAAAATTTATGAACCATTTTGTTAAGAAGGAATCACACTTCAATACTGAACATGATGAAACTGATTTTAATTGCTCTATTTTGCCACAGGGCGTTGAGAAGTTGAGGGTTAGAAAGTTAATTTTGTTTTTCCCTGTATAATGATTAGGACAATGGATGTTTTTCGGAACAAAATATCAAGCTGATTTTGCGAAACATACTTCTACGCTTTGGTCGAAATTTCATCGAAATCGGAAGAGGATTACGAAAGTTACAGGGCGAACAATTTTGCTAAAAATTTCACTGTCCGGAATTTATTGTCGGGGAGTGTACATTGAAATCTAGAGGTAGTCACTAGAATTGTCACGAACTGAGACCAAACAAGATGTTCAAAATTGCGCTTCCGCGGTGGAGCATCAGGAAATGCTGTCAACAGTAATATTACGATTTTCTGAACATACGACATGATTCTGTCATTTTGTTAACTCGTAGTATATTTTTGCACAGCAGGTAATTGAGTTTTGCTATAGACTAGACCCATACCTGAAATGCCTTTCTTATTTTCAATTCAAACCGAAACATTTTACTTACTGAAGGTATTAAACATTCGAAAATTCGATTGGATAAATTTTTTGAGGCAGAATATGAAGAAGTGAAACTGATTCTGAGGTGAATTTTTGCATATAGAGAATGAAAAGCATGAGGAACGATACTAAGCAATTAGTTTTTCCATAGAAACATAATCGTATATCGCTTCTTCGTCACGCTCACTACCATTTAAGCGACTCGTAACTTTCACTACCATGAATACCAAACACGAGTTCCGATCAAATTCAAATATGGTTTACTTCAGATGTAGGTACATAAATATATTTTGGTTATATTGACAATTCAATTGACCCAATATTCCTTCAAAGGGCATATTAATAACAATCTTCGTCATCACTGAATTCTTGATAGGTATCGTAGTCACTGGCATTTGGGTCACAAATAGTATTCTTCACTGCCTCGTCCACGAATGCCGACATTATCCTGAAGTTGACCTGATTCTCATCCAGTCCCTCGTATAAATAAAGAGGCAATTTGTTGGATATCACCCATACGCTTTGCCTCTGTTCATGGTCGACTTTGAGATCGTTGGGGAAAACCAGCGTTTCGGCATTTTCAGCTACAACTCCCAAGTTGGATCTTTTATACGGTTTCCTTGTATCCCAACAGCCGACTGAGTCTCTTGTTACCAAGTTGAAGAACATGATGCCTTGAAACAATAATCAGAGTTACAAATCATTATTTGAGTTCAACCGAGATGCAAATACGTTTTTTTCTGATTCATTTTTTCTAATGATTTTCGTAAACTAATTTTCTGAACGGATGTTCAATTTTTAAATTCCGAAATGACGTCACAAGAGCTAATCATCATGTGCCCCAATCGTCACATGCCCCATTCGTCATGTGCCCCAATCACCATTCAAATCTATGAGATAATCATGATGATTCTGTTTGGATCTAGTCATAACATTGCTGAATTAACAATATTGTTATGATCATAAAATGTTACAAAATGACATCGAAATTCTGTCTCTTGTTTCGATACTAATTGCAAGATGAGTTTTAAATTTTATTATTAGCACTATTGTTGGAGGATGATGAATTTGCCAACTGACAACATCGTTCCGAAATCTTTTGTTGGGTTACTGATATCATTTTGGAAGAAGAAGAGTTTATATGTAGGTACTTGAAATGTATAAATTTCATAAACGATAAGATTCACACAAAATTCTTAATCACACGACGTTTCCTAACACAGTGGCTTTATCATCAGGTGAAATACTGATACAATGAAATAAACTAACCTTGGCTTGCCTACCTTTAATATATCCTACTTTCCCAACCTGAAGGATTAGAATTACTTGTGGAAAGGTGCGATGAATCTTTATCTTAGGAAGTTAGGCACAATATCTACATTAAAATACGGTGTACTGGATCAGCTTGAAAGAGTTTATAGCGAATACATATTATTACCTACTAAGAAAACAAATTAGTTTATTTCATTTTACCTACCAGTATTTCACCTGATGAAGCTATACTGTGTTAGCGAGACATTCGGTTGAGTTACTCACATTTTCATCCGCGCTTCAGCTCTTGAATCTGATTTAGATTTCAACAACAAAAATCTTACAACTCTATGGAACACTCTATATGGTATATGTATTGTGAGATAGCAACATTTGATGTACTAAGATATCAGAATAGTATCACAGGGAATTGGAGGCTGATAATATCATGCAGTTCACAGTTGAATACATTTGATTGGTATTATCTTCTCATGTGTTTGTTCAAACGGGTGAATGCATCTCTGCAAGTTATGACGTCAGTCTTTATTGAGCAAATGTGCCGCCAGAATAAGACACAATTTCAAATGGTGAATTTTGAAATATCAGGGCAAGTCGTTTTCCGAAATGACTATATAATATAATTCAGTTCCTTATGCATAATCATTAAACCCGTATTTACGTATCAGTGTCCTCGCATATTATTCATGATCTGGGCTTCAACCTTATACGATGTATTACTAACCGTTTCTATCAATCCGAGAAGCCGAAACTTGTCCATTTTTCCCTCTGCTCTGTCCGATCACTTTGAATGCATCCTTTACGTCGGACCATCCAGTCTCATTACAAATAACTGAAGTTTTCACGGTGAATTCTCTGAAACTCGACATCGGGTGGAAAAATAAAGTCCTGTCTGGATTGTAATTGCTGTAGGGACTAAGGGCCAATCCAAATATACCATCTGTCCACTCGAATTCCACATTCTTGACCTAAATATACAAGTGATTATTTAATGTATTCGATGAATTATAGGAGGATGGTAGGAGAGGGAAACAAAGCCACCAATATCATTTTTCTTCACGCGGCATAGAAAATGGCACTGAACAGGCAGAAAAGGTGTACTTTCTCTGCCAAGGCAGGAAATGTTTGTTGCTATGCTACGTTTTGAGTAATCTGAATGGAATTGGTAATCGAAATTGACACTGACATTGGGTGAACACAAAATGATGTAGTTCTCAATAAAAAATTACACATAATTGGTCTCATAACATTTGGAGAAAAAATTATATATCTCACACGGCAGCGAATGTAGATTGACAGCCTAGTAAAACGAATAAATATCAATGTAAACAGTTCCGTCCCTTCTCATCATTGAAGGCGCTAGCATTCTATATTACAACATTGTACATCATCATTCATTCATTTATTTATTTATTTTATTTATTTATTCATTTATTTCTTACACTGTTCAACAGGTTGCCCCATTTACAAAAAGGACACAACAAAAACATATGCATTGCATATTACATGAGCATAATGGATAGACGAAACAATATGACAAAATAAAAATATCCTGACTATCTAGTTATTCACTGATGGAGGAGTAAAAAGATAAAGAGTTTTGACATGAGTTATTCCAAACCTGAAAAGATCTAGATTTCTAGCTACCAAGTTATATGTACTACACATCTTATAAAAAGGTGAATTTTTATATATGTTTGTTCGAGGAAGCTCTATAAGTAGAATGTATCACAATTTCTGGAAGATAATCTCGGGATAATGAAGTTCAATTTTTTCAACAAATCTGCACAGTCAATTAAATTGTTAACAACCTTATGAAGGATCAAGATAGAGAAGTATTGTCTTCTTACGTGCAGGCTTACAAATTGGAAAGTTTCAAGAAGCTCTCCATGAGGTGTACCAATTGGAGGGTATGTAGCGCATGACCTGTAACTTAATAGTTTTGAAAATCGTCGTTGCAGACTTTCAAGACGATCAGTATTGTTCCGATAGATTGGGCTCCAGACAACCGATGCATATTCAATCTTCGAACGTATAAAACAGTAGTAGAATTTCTCAAGAGTATCTATCTCTGTTGCGAATTATGAACCCGTATGCTCGAAATGCGGTCTTCAGGATTGAGTCCATATGATCATTAAACGATATAGATTGATCAAATATAAAATATAACGCTAAGATCTTCGAATGTTATAGGTCTCAGAAGAGAAATCTCACCAATTGAGTAATTGAAAACGATTGGGTCCGACTTCAATGTGAAGGACATGACTTTGCATTTGACAGGAATCAGTTCTAATCTGTTATTTCGACACCATTCTACAACTCGACCCAGGTTGTCAGCAGGCTGTTGAAAATCATCTATGTGATTCAGGCACCTATATAATTTCAGGTCGTCCGCATATAGCAAAAAGTTCACGTCAATAACATTACCAATGTCGTTGATAAAAATGTTGAAAAGAAGTGGCCCCAGATTGGAGCCTTGTGGTACGCCAGATGTTGCAAGATTCGATAGACTTGTAGCCGTTGAACTGGACATATTGTTTACGATTAGTGAGGTATGATTTGAATAGGTTAACTAGAGAGATATGGGCTGGGAAAAGCATCATGATTATTAACCTTCTTTTTATGTTCTGTTTCCCACGAAAAGGGAGTGAATAATGTCCTCAATTTCAATGTGATAATTTGAAAAATTCCAGATTGTTTCGAATTGTCAAATTTATAATCAGTTGCACTTTAGGCAATCAATACCTGCGTATAAGCAGAGTATGTTGTGGACAGGTACATACAAGCAGTGATATATGACAAAAACTGCGATACTAGCAAAGTGATAAAATAAAAAGCAGGTATCCATGTCGAAGCGGCAGTGATTTTGCCAGGAATATGTGTGAGATAAAGTATATTTTTCTGTTATTCACTGACAGACTGATATAGTCACCGTAGATATGCAGAAAATGTGACAGTAAACAATTGATATAATAGTATATTATTCAACAACCATATAATGAGGGCTATTATTCACGAAGGTTAAGCTTGATTGGATAATAGCTCATTATATGCGAGTAGAATACTATACATTGTCCACGACTACTATTTTTTGCGAACATAAATTTGTTCTCAACAACATAACTCATTTGACATTGAGGAAAGTAAAAATTGAAGATACCTGTGGAATTAATTATTTGTCCACATCTGCTGTACTTCCTCAAGCATAATGATATCCATTTTTCACACCAGTGAATCCAGTGAGTTATGGTTATTCACTGCAATTATTCACTAGTGTGAAAAATAGCTATACTGTTTTGGTTGAGGAAGTGCATGTATCATGAATATTTCATACAACAGTCGTGGATGAGCAAATGTACTCAATATTTCTTCTATGGGATTGTTGATTCAAAAATATTCACAATGTTTTATGTTTGTGCTGGATGAAGGGTGGAATATTATAGCGGATAGGTACATTGATGAACAGAACACGCTCATCAATTTGGTAGGTACTTACTCAGACAGTGCATATCGAATCAGTTTTTCATGATGAAATAATTGAAAAACAAGCACCCATCTAACATAACACATATAGTACGGTCAATAGGTATTAGCTCATTTTTTCCAGGTAAAATATATGTTGAATCTCTGATATGAAGTTTGAGACCACGAGTGCAAATTCGAGAACCAATACTCGTGATATTTTGCTGATAATCGGGGAAGCTCGTTGAGATAACAGCTACAATTATGTACTATCACCGAAGTTCCAACAGAAACAGAAACCTGAATGAATGAAACTTTGTTAGGATTCGGGTAAAATTATTATTATTCTTGGGTGTTTAAAAATGAGGGGCTTTATGCATTTACGATTTCTGTTTGCGAAAAATGGTCATTTCTTGAGAAGTTTCGGGACTATATTCTTTATTTTCATTACTATAATTTTCTGGAAGAAAATCATTTTCGAGAAAATTTGACTCAATATTTTGATGAAATCCAATGACCCTCTGATGTGAATGGATATCAGATATTCCAGGGACACGAATAGGATAATCTAGGGATGAACCAGGCGGGATGTCCACTGTACAACCACTGCGGGACAATCATGTCCTTGTACCGCAGGACAAATAAGGGACGTACCTAGGACATCCCTGTGTTGTTAGGGAGGTTGAATCAAAGGTTTTTACCTTGTATGCAGCAGCGAGAGGTTCAGGGTAAAACAAATGATCAGTCACCCTCCAACCCCGCATTGTCTTCAGGCTGAACACCACCAAGCCAAACCTCCAAACGTCCGTCAAGTATGCGTGAACGTTCAAGCAATCGTTCCCTCTCACGTCCACGAGGATGTTCGAATAGAGGCTGTCCTGTTTGACGAACTCCTCGGGAAAGTCGTACCTGGCGACGAGCTGGTCGGTTCCAAGGTCGAAAACGAGCAGTTTGGTGGGGCACACCTGCTTCGCTTTCACAGTGACGTCAATGAGACCACTGTCGAGGACCCACAGGCGACCACATGAGTCCACGTGCATACGGAAGACCGAGACGATTCCATCGCAAGAGTCTGAAAATTACGAAGGCGCTGAGCAGACATAACATAAGCATAAATAAATAACACTTACTGCAAGTTACAACTTGCAATTATCTATAATTGCATGTTACAAATCGCAATTAGCTTTAATCGCAAGTAACAACTTGCAATTTTCTATAACTGCATGTTACAACTTGCAATTAGCCATAATTGCATGTTGCAACTTATAATTACATGTTTTAACTTGCGATTAGGCATCTGTGGTACGTGAGCAAATGGGCGTGGCTTATCTGCTTGGAGGAGGAGAGATCGAATGGGTTTATACCTATAGGAAATAATGGGATTAATGTGTTTCAAAATCCATTCCCAAGTATTGTAGGGCTTTTTTAGTGAAATTCAGAAGAAACTATGGAGATTGACCATTATCAAGCCTATATATCGAAGACTGGAACCTTTGGCACGATAATACACTACACTGCTTTACCACTAACCAAACCGATTTTTTTAACGCCTCGACCCGTGTTTCGCTAAACACGTGTCGAGGAGTGTATTATCAAGCCTCGTAGAGAGTCCATGAACGTAGATATTTGTAAATATCATTCTAGATATGAGGAATATCATACCTAAAAGAGGTAGGTCTGGAGCCCGAGAGAAATTGCTTTGAATAAAGAACTTTGGCTAGCAAAGAATCTGAAAGTCATGAACTTTCTCTTCGAAGTAGTTTTTATTTCAGAATTATTGTTGGGCAAATACTTCACAATTTGTAGAGAATAATAACTGGAGTAAGTAGGACACCCTCCATCTCCTTAGAGTAGAAGAACTGGATATGATTGTCAAATACAACAGGTCATAAAAGATGCAGATAAATCATTAGAAGAAATCACCATCATTTATGTAGATGATGAAGACTAGATATCATCTACGTACCTGTACCTACATATTTCCATTTCTCGTTGAACTGCTTGAATTTGAATACCTATACCTATATATACATGCTCATCAGTTGGAAAATGTCCTATTTGAAAGCAGGGACCCGGACCCAAATGAGATACCGCGGTTCCGATTCAGTTACGGTTCCCAGAATAATTTCGATTCGGTTCTGCCATTTTTTTTTTGGTCCTCAGGGTTATTCTTTTCGGTACATAAATTACATTATATGTCGGAAAAAGATGGCAACAAATGGAAAACAGAGTGAAAAACTTTTTTATTATTAACTTTATTATTCGCTGGGCTGGTACCAAAAATAAAGGATGGTATTTTATCATGTAATATACATTGCATTTCTTCTGAAATAGCATTATCTGTCCCAAGGTCAGCTCGAGGCATTTGAAGGATACCCACTCACGGCATCCAAATGGTATTTCGATATAATCCTTGGATTGTTGCTGTTATTGTTCGCTCTTAGCCATATGATGCATCGAGAAAAACCGTCAATGCAACCACTGATGTAAACACCAAAAAGCTTTAGTTTATCGTAGCAGTCCATGTGCCATAAGTAATTAGGGCCCTTATTATGATAATATTGCCTACGCCGTAGTCGGTGCCGCGAACGCAGATCAACACCTTCTGGATCCAGTATTTGTTCTTGGAGTCCTATGTTTTCTTGTATTACTGTTAAGTTATTCTGAATGCATTTCAAATGTATCCACTCATTGCCATGTAACTGATTATGCGTTTCAATACACTCTTTCAAGAACTTTACTACAGTTGATATATCACTGTAATACTTGCTTCTATAGAGGCTAAGATGACGGAGTTTCCTTCTCAAATGTCTCTCACTGATGAATATTTCGTGATTCATAGCCAAACATGCCACTATTTCTGCCTGCTGAAGTCCCAGTATGAAGTAAAATTCAATTAGTTCCTTCATAGCTGACACAATGAGTACACAACTCAACTCTAACTAAAAGACGGTGGGTACATTATAGGTAATTATAGGTAATTGCAAGTTGTACAATGCAATTATGGCTAATTGCAAGTTGTAACTTGCGATTATCTATAGTTGCAAGTTATAACATGAAATTATGGCTAATTGCAAGTTTTAACATGCAATTATAGATAATTGCAAGTTGTAACATGCAATTATACATAATTGCAAATTGTAACATGCAATTATTGAAAATTGCAACTTGTAACTTGCAATGGACCTGTACACCTTAGTAGAACTTTTAACTCAAACCATGTTTATAATGATCCTTTTATACATAAATAATGATTGACGACATAATTCGAACGAAAAATTAACTGGAATGTTTTATTTTTAGACATAAATAATAGTACCTTCTGAAAACGGACCCTCTTATGACGTAGAAACTTAATCTCGCCATAGTTAAAAGAAAGTACAAAAAGACCTGATGGAGACTGAGGCAACTGATTTATTAATTCTTTCAACTGTGATCTCGCGCTAATTCACTTTGTCAGAAATCATGTATAAAGTCTTCTTTCAGTATTAGGGTTTTGACGTCACATCATTGCCTCGTTTTCAGAGGTCCGAAAAATCGGGGATTTCAATAATTTTTAAAAAAACGTAGGTAGCTCACAGCAAGAAACGATTTGCGGTGGTGAGCTAGTTTAGGTGAGTTCTATCGAATTATGAAATTTTTTTTTTTGTGATATAAGCCCATTATATATTTTTTCAACAGTGTCCGCTCAGCGCCTTCGTAGAAAATTCATGGTTGGAGCTGTCACCCAGTAAACACGATACATAACAAAAATGTTTTTTCGGATTGCGATAATGTCTGATAATGTCTGAAGTATCCAACATAGTATTATGAAGTAAAAAGTTTATGACACGTTGCATCAATATTGACATCGATATCATCAGATACTATTGTAATATGTTGATTTTAGGTTTTTCGGATATATCTCAGACAGTGATATTATTTTATTTGTGCACCGTTTTCGTTTCATCAACTTATGACGTAGCTTACATCTATACAGAATACAAAAGGGTAATTTTTTTCCTACGGCAAAGTAACCTTATCAGCTATTGAAAGTCAAATCAATTTCATTGCAGCCATTTTGTTTGTTGTCTAATATGTAATATGGTGAACAGATAAGTGTGATCAGTGACAATATTGATTTTCACCTATTATTCTCAATAGTTATCAGAGTAATTTGAGAACTAAAGAAGTATAAACTGAAAGAAATTCGAATAACAATATGAATTGCTCATGATACCTACTTAGATTTCAGGTTTGCTCTTTCAGGTTTGCTCTGCTGGAATTTAGAAATACAATATGTATTTCATAATGTTTGTAAAAGTATAAGGGATTCGTAAATACGGATTGTTTCCATATTTCACGAATTGCAAAAATAATGAGTGAGCTATATATGTCATGGCTATACAGGGTCTTCAACAACGATTGAGTGTCACGTGACCATTTTTGATGCGGCGTCTCTTCTCCACCCACGTTAAATATATACGAATGTATTCTTGCTTGCATAGTCACGTGGTTTTCAATCACTGTAGAAGACCCGTCAGAATAGAATTTCGAAACCAGTCAGAAAACTTCCAAAAACTCCTTTATATATTCACCTCTATTACTCTTCAGAATTCAAGACATGATCCAGAAAGAGATCACTGGATTATGCAGATGTCATTTACCTATGCTAGGTATGACTGATGGATTCATGAAGCAGAATAACTAAAATGATACTAATAATGGTAGTAGTTGATCTGTTTCAAAATGTCACTATGTAACTGGATCATACTTATAGTCTTCCAGGAGTAATATCAATTTATCATATTCAGGGATAGATCAATTTCTCTGTCTCTTCTAAGGATCATTCAGATGATTTTCCTAATGGTTTCAGAAGAAGAAGGCATAACCTAAAAGAACTCCTAGAAGATAATTAAAATGTTGATATACAATATCGATTAGATGTTTTGAGTAACATTGGATATACTTTATGAAGTAACATTGATTTCATGTACTTCCTGATACGATATTATGATATGATATTCAACTCCAACATTACATTATGATATTTAAAAGAGGCACAAAAGCCCATTGCCGCAACGTATCCGTGACATTATTCATCCCTCTGAATAACATCACAAAGTAACAATGTAGTATAAAATTTATGTATAAATTTTGTTTTCATGTTGAGTGGGCAGTTATTTCAATATGAAGAATGAAGGAAGATGTTCGGCTCAAAGGTCGAAAACGAGTAGTTTATGTATAAGTTAGCTGTTTGAGTTAGGTTAGGTTAGATTCGAAGTGAAGATGTCTATTCGGTCCTCCACTCCCGTGAGGGTCTCTTGTGTCGCACACCCATTGATATTTCACCAAGTTGATTCGGCTTCTTGATGGATCCGATCAGTTCACTTGGTGGATGCTCTTTGAGGTAAAACTTCATTCGGGCCGTCGTGAGACAGATGAAGAGTATACAGGTTGTTTGCCGATGTTTGCATGCTCTATTGATTCTTCAACCTCAAGAAAGAGAAGGCATGCCGTATCATGCCAGTCCCAGTCCGAGTCTCGACATATGATAATTCAGATAACAACTGTAAATATGACTGTTAGGAAGCGTAGGTCATCCCTGATGTAGCCTAACATATCGTTTGGCGACATTCTTCGAAGAATGTGAATGCCTTTCAAGGATCCAATCCGGGTATGGATTATTTCGAAAGTGTTCCACACTTTTTGCTGTCCAATTGTTCAGAATATGGCAAAACTTGATAATATACTGGTTCTGGTCTGATGAAACCACTAGCGATCGAGGGTATCGCTGTTAGTTTCATCACTCTTGCAAACGGATCTGAGGTTTACCAAAGACTGGAACCTTCTTCACTATAAATCACTAAACTCTTTCACCTAACCAAACCGATTCTTCAAACGCCTCGAGACATGTTTTGCTTTGATAGCATCTGAAGGAACAGATCAAAACTAAATGTCCTATTCTATATAGTGTGCTGTTAATATTTCTGTCATATAATATGAGCACAATATAAGCACTTGAATAGTATAGAATTAGATATTCAGTTTCAATATTTTCTTCAAGATGCTAACATAGATAGGGAAACATGATTGTGTCATTTACACACATACTGATGGCGTTATCACGTATCGTCTGACATTTGCCCATTTATTCGATGGTATGTAAAGAAGTTCGGGAGATGATGGTATATAATTACTTAACAAGCAATTCATCATCCATGGAGGTTGTTTAGAACGGCTGCACAACAGATATTATGAAATTGTTAAAATTATAGGACCATTCAATACGATAATCCAATATCTCCACAGCTCTACAGCGGAACAGATAATACAGGCTGATTTTAAAATGAGTGCATATATTCAAGACATATATATGAGAGAGTCTAACAAAAATTACTAAAATATTTGATTTTTCCTAAGTCTTCACATTAACGAGAAATTTCATTTTGAAAATTGTAGATACAAAATTAGCAAAAACCATCGAAAACGACTCGACGACGACATATCCTTCCTGGCAATCTCACATTGAAAATCACGATCGCGACCATATCACGATTATCACGACACAAGACACAACATCCAATTATTTTATTTTTTATTTTGCGTTTACAATTATTTTACAAACCAGCAACCACACGAACAAAACTATTATCATATGATCTGTCAACATCATTTCTCAGAACAGTAGTATCTGTGACCATAGATTTCCTCTTTGCTGTGACCTTTGACAGTACTAACTAGGATTGTTTGCGTTCAGAAAATAAACAATCCGAAACCGTCAAAAGCATGCACAAGTCCACAGAACCCAAAAAAATCATACAGTTCTGTGAAACTGCGCATGCTTCTGACCTTTTCGGACGCAAGAATTCAGATGACAATAAATTACTTATAGGTGTTTTCTAAGGATCAATCAGAAACAGCAAAGTAGCGCTTGCGTGGTTGTGATTCATCCTGATTGGACACAGCCGATTGGATTTGTGAGATTAGTGTATAGTGAGGAAGTATCATTTCATTGAATTAAACTAATAGATGTTTTTTCCAAATTTGTTTTTTATGAAAATGGTAGTTTCATTTCAAGATATGATCCTTCCTCACTAATACATTAATCTCAATCACCTGTGCCAAATCAGGATGAATCGCAACCACGCAGGCACTACTTTGCTGTTTCTGATTGGTCCGTAAAAGTCGCCTATTAGTAATTCATGGTCATCTGAATTCTTGCTGGTAGCACACCATAAGAACAATCAAAACAAAGATCATTTCTTGACAGTTTGTTGTTCTGAGAATATTCGTTAGAATCAATGGTTAACTATCATTTTCATGTTTAAGGATCGAATACGACTCAATTTCATGCTGATAAAATGGTGGGTAATGAATGAATGCTGATGTTATAGGAAGAGTAGATAGGTATATCTTCATTTGATGCCATCAAATTTATTGATTCGTGTGGTTGGTATATCAATGAGTGACACCATCAGCCTGTTGAAATATATATTTCATTCTCACGTTCGAGCAGGAACGAATCTGCTCCTGTTTTCAAGATGAAAAATGTAAAATATTATTCTCCCAAAATTGTCTGCACATAAGTGAACATTCGATATTTTCTCAATATAAAATCTATTATTATCTTCTTCGGAGATTTTTCGAAACAAAGCGTCACTGACAAACGATTGGACTTTTCTTCAAGACGCAGTGACATTTTGGGGCAAATCTTCTGATTTGTCCTACTACACGTATATTGAGATAATACTCATATTTTAATTTTAAAGAAACAAGGACGGGAAATCCCAAATGATCAAGCAAAATGAATGTACACTTGTCTTCAGTGAACATGTCGCGGTTGGACGGTATGAGCGCGCTTATTGCAGCGGTGATTAAGAGAGCTGACACCGTCCATGTGCGACATGTTCTCTGAAAACGATTGTTCCACCTCCTCGGAAAACCTAGAAACGGTATTTGTATCAGCATTGATATAGAGAAGGACTGGATACAGAGATTATATATCTTCAATATACCTTGGTATAGTAACTATATCGAATGATGTTGAGAAACCTTCAAGAAAATTAAACAAGGTGCCTATACAGACGGAGATACATCATCTCCCGAGATATAACAAATTTCACAAACGATTTCCACAAAATTCTCAAAAACACGACATGTTCTTAGTGGCACAGTATAGCTTCTTCAAGTGAATTGGGTGATTTTTTATTTAGTTTGGATTTCCATCAAGTCACGGCCGAGTTAATTCAAAAAAAGAAACCACGTTGAATATTTTCTCAGTTGATGATTATCTATTATTGAATCGAATCAATTATAAACATAGCAGAATTTTCGTTTTCTTTTATCATCTTTTACTGCTTTGAACATCATCGATATAACCACATATTCAAGCTTTTGGTTATATCGGATTAAATATCAGGAGAAGCAGCATTTGCTAGGTAACTCCAGATTTCTCACCACAACGTCGTTTCTATTTCAACCTGATTCTTCTTTCAACTAGGAAAAGCCGAATACTCGAAGTGGAATGCAATGGTCACAAAGAGAGAAAATCAAAGTTATTACCACAATAGTTCATAAAATGAACAAAAATGGTAGATAACGAGAGAAATACAACCACTTTCCTGGCTATATGCCACGCAGAACATTGGATTATATCCTCCTGAAATCTATGCAATAATTCGTATAGACGAATAGAATCGCAAGTGTATCCTTCCTAAATGCCGAGCTGCGCCTAAGTGGTTCAGGAACGTGTGACTGCCTGTAGACTGGTTCCGAGCTGATGGCTCTCATCTCTACAGGGCTGTCCCAGTTAGCATCTCGGCCGCTATCTGGTGCGAACCTGACCCAACGCCACCACCACCACGCCCCCAAAAGGTTGAATGCCCAGGATCAACTGCCGCTATATAACTAGCTTACGTTATATCTTTGGTTTCAGTCTTCCGACTTTCAAACCTTTTTGTCTAATGTGTGTTTCCTAGCCTGACTTTGCGTGGTGGTTCCCTACCCTAATGGGAAGAAAATTTGAGTTTATGTTTTATTATTATTGGTTTACATATTTATAGGGTAACAAAGGAGAGACTCTTCTGTTTAATTATCTGATGATTATCATGCAAATTTTATTGATATTGATTTACTTTCGTTTGTTTATCTTATATTTGGTGAATTGGGAGCCTGTACTTCATTCTTCCGAAGCGCGGGTCTTGATTTAGTTGTCTATTAGTCAGGTCGTGCAGTAGCGGATTTTCGTGGATTTCTGTTCTTCCGAATGTAGTCTCCGCGGTTGTCTTATGTAGTTGTCTATGTAGTCTGGGTTTATGTTCAGGTCCCTATAGATAAATCAATTTGGGATACACCATATAGCATTTACTGCCATTCTCATTGTGACATTTAGAAATGCCTGTATTTGCTTTTTGTATGTCTCTGCGCATTGGCCCCATGCACTTGATGCATACAAAATTATTGGAAGTGAATGGTTCCTATTAGGCGCAGCTTCAACTCTAGAGCCATGTTGCTTCTGCGAACTATTAGAGGCTGTAGGTTTTGCCTTGCGGCTTTACCCAAGTCTAGTCGTGTTGTGATGTGTCGGCGTATACTGCGAGTTTGTCAAAGTTGCTTGCGGCTTTAGGAATATCTGCGGTAAAAATGGAGAAAAATAGTGGTGAAAGGACCGCACCTGCTTCTAACTCCCTCTCTGCAGAGATTTCGTTGCCAACTTTACATTGGCATCGCCTTTTCCGCAGAAAAGAGGTATTAGCTTTACCATAGATATCGGGTACCCGTAGTCTGCCATTTTGGTTAGTAGTCCGTCGTGCCAGACCCTGTCGAATGCTTTCGAAACGTCAAGGAAGACTGTTCCAGTATAATGCCCTTTTCCGAGATTGAATCCTGTAATCGCGTAATCTACTATTCTGAGATGACCCAACGCAACCGCATCTCAGCATTTATACCCCACGAGGCGTTCAACGTCCGCGAAATTAAACGCGAACGCCGAACGTCACCGGCTTTTTCCTAGTCGATAATACGCCAGTCGGGCAACCAGCCACTTCCATTTCACCTGAAATGGGATCTTGTTTCCAAGTGTTTCTTTCCTTGCCCGGTGGCGTTTGGCGTTCGCGTTTCATTTCGCGGACGTTGAACGCCTCGTGGGGTATAAATGCTGGGATGCGTTTGCGTTGGGTCAGAATCGCACCTGATAGCGGTCAAGAGTCTATCTGGGACAGCCCTGTACTGACGAGAGCCAACAGCTCAAAACCGGTCTGTAGGTAGTCACGCGTTCCTGAACCACTTAGGCGCAGCTCGGCGTTTAGGAAGTAAATTCTTGCGATTTTATTCGTCTATATGAATTATTGCATAGATTTCTAGAGGCAGTAATCCAATGTTCTGCGTGAATATATAGCTAGAAAAATAATTTTTTTTCTCTCGTTATCTACCATTTTCGTTCATTTTATGAACTATTGTGGTAATGACTTTGAGTTTCTCCCTATTTGTGATTTGTCTTCATAATGAAGTTGTGTAATAATCTCCCTAAAATATTTTTGAGACTTTTTCCATCGATAATTACATACATTTCAAATTGTATAAACAGGTTATTGTCGATTGTCGAAAATATTCAAATCATGAAAAGAAAGAAAAATCTCATTCTCACGCGATTCTTCACTCCCTTCATTTCCTTCCGATTTTTCGCCATGACAATAAAACTTACAAACCATTGAACATGTTCTTATCGGTGGTGAATATATGAGAGATTTCTTCTCTTCTCTGAGTGTGTTTACTGTGATGAATCAACTCCTACACGGAAAACGCTATTTGACGACGACGTGAGTCATTTTGACATCGATAAAAAAGGATCTGCCTTTTTTATCGCTGATAAACTGCCTGCTCCTTTGATCTAGTATAGCTATTTGCGCCTGATGTTACTCCAATTTCTGTCGTTTCAAGTTTGATTAATAGGTATGGTTCACGCGTTAATCAGCAAGATGAGCCGTTTTAGGAAAATCTCGTCTGAAGGAACCACAAAAATATGAGAAAATCAATTACGCAAACTACCAGTTAAACGGAATCATCAATGAAGGTAATCATTATTGTTGTTCATTTGTATATTGTCGTTTATTAATCTTGCCAAAAAACACTCAAACATTCTTTTAATTGGACAAATTTCCTTACTAACTACCTTATTTCCCTTGGTTCTCACGATGTTCTCTGAACATTACAGGCTATCCC